AAGCGTCCCTTTTCTGAGCACAAGCACTCAGGCCAGGCAGCCTGAAAGAACGCCCCGTTGCAAGGGACGTTGACAGCGCCTCCGCGCTGGACCAGGCGTCCCGCGCTGCTCTGACCGCGCGTCGCGCACAAGCGTGCGCGGAGAGAGCGGAAACAGCCATGGGGGATGGAGATAGTTCAGCCCAATTTTGTGAACAGGACAATTTTCCCGCTTCTTTGGCGGACAGGCCCAAAGAGAGCTGCAAGGAGTCGCATCCTGCTGCTGTTGCGAAAGGCCAAGAGAATTAGCCCCCGCTCCTACGGGTGACTGAGCCAATCCCACAGTTTTCCAAGTCTTCCGCTGAGGCTTCCGTATTTTCACCTAAGGCGAGTCACCCTGGCGCGAACAGGTCTGGACAGGCGCAATGTACTGCGCCCCAGACCATACATGAGTGTTGGGTTTTGGAGTTTTTCGCAGGGTCAGCCGGGATTACCTCGGCGGCTGCTTCAGCCGGCCTCAGGCGGTCGGTCGGAGTGGACAAAGTCCGCAGGCCAAGCCTCAAGGGCAAGATATTACAGCTGGTCTTGCTCCTGCTGTCGCACAGAGGTCTGCTGTGGAAATGGCTGGGTTCCCCAGGACTGGCCGCCGTATGGCTGGCGCCGCCCTGCGGCACATCCAGCAGGGCCAAGGAAATCTAGGTCAGTGGAGTACCCGGAAGGGCTTCCGGGCCCGAAAGGGTGGCAAAGGCCAACGAGCTTTGCCGGCTCACGGCCCGAAGCTGGGACTTTTGCTGCGAATGCAGCATCGTGGTAATCATAGAAAACCCCTATCGCAGTCTCCTCTGGCGTTGCATCGCCGTTGAACACATCCTGAGGAGTGAACAGGCGATTGTGGTCCAGTGCGACTTTTGCATAATGGGAGGCTCGAAATGAAAGCTGACAGCCTTGCTGTGCAACAACGACCTCATCACAGGCCTGGCTGTCACGTGTGTTGGATCCCACGAGCACCTACCCTGGGAAGTGCACGAGGGAGTTCTCGCAACAAACTTGAGACCGCGTACCCGCAACAGTTTTGTAAGCACTTCGTTTCCCTGCTGTTGCAGCATCTGACACAGAAGGGTTGTCGGGATGGCCTTAATCTATTGGAGGGAGATCCCGCAAACTCCTCAGGAGCCAGGGTGGTAACGACACAGGCAAAGACCAAAAGGGCTGCATCCTTTCAGGTCATCCCCGGATTTTGCCGACGAACCAGATGGACAGTGCCCAGCCAACTCCGCAGCACTCTCCAAACTACACAGTGGTTAGGACCGGACAAGATCCCGGGGTTCAAGGCGCCAGGATCCCCGGCGTTGAGAGTGACGCCCCTACTGTCTTCTGCGACGGACGTTCTGGTGGAGGTGCCGTGGAACCCACAGGAATTTGTGGCGAAAGCCCGACTGGTCGGCTACCCCCGACACCTGTGTCTCGGGGTGCCACCCGCCCTCAGGAAGGTAATTTTGGCGTGCTCTAAACAGCCCGCAGCCAAGGTGATTGAGACTCGAGCAGCGCAGTCACGAAGATGGCTCCAGCGAGCCCAGGAGACCAACCACCAGGTCATCAAGGAAGTTGAGGACTCATCTCAGTTTCTGGAAGAACTGTGGCTGAAAAGTCTCGATGAAGTATCGAAAGGCTGCTCGGAAGGACCGTTCTGAGAACAGGGCTTGCCACAAGGAGCTGTAATCAGCCAACGTTTTGCAATCCAGCAAGGGAGCAAGGTGAGGCTGATCGACGACCTGTCCCAGAGCTACATCAACGAGGCACGCAGGACAAGGACTGCTTGGAAACCATTGACCTGAATCAGCGTATAGGCGACTGCCACTGTCCGAAGAGGCACTCAACATGGCTTACGTGGCGGTCAAGGACCCAAGCTAGGGGGAGGTTCGCTTCTTCAGGCTTCTTTGCCTTCCATTCGGCGCCGTGGCAGCGGTCCACGCGTTCCTCAGGGTCAGCTTGGCTATTTGTCATACAGGAAACACGTTTTGGCACTTGCCTTGGAGCTCGTCTTACGATGACTTCACGCTGTTGTCAACACGACAGCTGGCCCCTAGCGCAGAGGCCAGTGCATGTTTTTTCGCTAGACTTGCTCTGCTTTGAGTTTGACAGAGACGGAGACAAGGCTCCGCCGTTCCAGGAGGTCTTCAGTTCTTTGGGAGTAGAATTTGACCTTACAGACAGCAGCGAGCAAGTTTTTTTTTTTTGGATCCAGAATACAGCAGAACGAACCAAAAGTCTCATTGAAGACCTGGCAGTCTTTCAGGAGCAAGGAGCCTCCAGCCCTAAGACCTGGAATCGACTGAGGGGAAGGCTGCACTTTGTGGCGGGCCAACTCTCTCTGGGCGCTTGCCGAAGGGCTTCATGAGAAGAAGCTCTGACATCATCAATGCCCCCGCGTATGTCAGGAGACAGAACAAGAGCCTCCCTTTGCGCAGCACTTCAGGAGCTACGACATTACATAGCCGAAGCGCCGCCGAGGACGGTGCGAGCCCAGACCTCAGAGACGGTGTATCTTTTACGGACGCCTCGCAAGAGGACTCCAAGGCCTCGAAATGGGTCTGGGAGCAGTCCTGTTTAATGAAAAAAGTCCAAAGTCATCAACGAGCTTGAGAGCATAGCTGTTCTCCTGCTCTTCATTCTAGCCCGAGAATTTCTCCGGGGAAAACACGTGATGTGCTACTTAGACATTGAAGCGGTGCGCGCGTCGCTCCTCAAGCTGACCAGCGATTCAAAGGCCTTGACCCTCTTGAGCAATGCTTGTGCATTGTTGGAACAGGAGCTCGAGATGATTCAGTTCTACGCTCGGGTACCGAGCAAATCCAACGCGGCGGATACCCCATCCCGCCTTGACTTTACAGGGTTGCCACACAATTGCAGGTTCAAGACCAGGTGCTTCTCGCGGAAATGGCCAAGCTGGTAAACTCACTTGTCGGGCGCCGCGCCTGACACTCCCATGACCAAGGAAGGGACTTGCATTCTCCCCGACCAAGAGAGGGAGATTTCGTTTCTCACACACCTGCAGAGGACAGATCCCGGATGGAAGCAGACATGGCAAATCCCCTTCCTTGGAAAAGATACCTGTGCATAAGCTTCAGTCTTGTTAGCGTGAGGGTGCACGTCATTGCAGTCTGTGCATGTGAATGCATCGCTGTGCATGGGACACAAATGAACAAGCATGGCATCGATGGATTGTCCTGTATCTTTGGCCGGGAAATGTTTTCACACATTTGAAACATTTTTGTTTGGAAAATAAGGTTATCGTGCTGCAAGTACAGACCTTTATTTTCCGGAGAAAAATTTTCGAATTCTCCGAATGAGAAAGTTTTTCGGCTCAGACGAAGAGAGGCCACAGCCCTCTCAGTCACGACCCTCGTGGAGAGGGTCGGGGAAAATTTTCTGCCCACCCACCCACTCCAATAGTGCCTTACGTCGCTGTGCTGCAAGGCTTCAGGGTTTAGGGTTGGCAGGTGTGAGGCAGTGAGGTCGCTTGAGTGCCCTGTGCTTTTTTCCTCCCGAACCCCGGGCCCCTCCTGTGATCAGGTGCTCCTCGTCTCCATTGCTGGCAGCCGGGCTCTGCAGAGGCTTCAGGGTCGGTAGGGTTTCGGGATGCAGGCTTGTGGGCTCCGAGGCAGTGAGGTTTAGTTCGTTTGCGCTCAGAGTGCCTTGCGTGCGGTCTGCCCTTCCCCCCCTCCCCGCTGTAACTCTAGAGTGCGCTGCGCCCCCCACCCCTCCCGGAAACCCCGGGCCCCCTTGTGTGGTCAGGTTCGACATCGTGTTCGTCTTCTCGTTCGACATCTTCAAGCAGAGGTGGGGTTAGTGCAGGGTTCTGAGCGCTTTGAGGTGTGGTTTGTGCGGTTGTGCGGTCGAGGAGTGCTATGTGAAACCCAGGAGCTTAACCGCAGGAGGGCATGTGAACCCCAGGTGGTGGGGCGCAGGAGGGCATGTGAACTCATGAGGCGGGGGCGCCGGAGGGCATGTGAACTCAGGAGGCGGGGGCGCAGGAGGGCATGTGAACTCAGGAGGCGGGGGCGCAGGAGGGCATGTGAACTCAGGAGGCGGGGGCGCAGGAGGGCATGTGAACTCAGCAGGCGGGGGCGCAGGAGGGCATGTGAACTCAGCAGGCGGGGGCGCAGGAGGGCATGTGAAATGTGAACTCATGAGGCGGGGCGCAGGAGGGCATGTGAACTCATGAGGCGGGGCGCAGGAGGGCATGTGAACTCACGAGGCGGGCATGTGAACTCAGGTGGCGGGGGCGCAGGAGGGCATGTGAACTCAGGACTGCCTGGAATTGAGGCCCAGTCTGGACCTGCCTGGAATTGAGGCCCAGTCTAGACCTGCCTGGAATTGAGGCGCAGCAGAGACGGGGTTGGGGTTTCACATGGGGTCCTGCCGGGGAGGGTGGGGGGTTCACATGGGTCCTTGGCGGGGCGGGTGGGGGTTCACATCGGTTCCTGCTGGGGCGGGTGGGGGGTTCACATGGGTCCCTGCTGGGGCGGGTGGCGGGTTCACATGGGTCCCTGCTGGGGCGGGTGGCGGGTTCACATGGGGTCCTGCTGGGGCGGGTGGCGGGTTCACATGGGGTCCTGACGGGGCGGTTTGGGTTTTCACCTGAATTCCTGGCAGGGCGGTTTGGGGTTTCACATCAGGTCCTGGCAGGGCGGTTTGGGGTTTCACATAGGGTCCTGGCGTCCTGGCGGGTCGGTTGGGGTTTCACCTGGGGTCCTGGCGGGGCGGTTGGGGTTTCACTTGGGCTTTTGTCGGGCGGTTGGGGGTTTCCTTGAGTTTGCCGTGACCCTTCAACCCCGTTCCCGTGACCCCGAAATCCTCAACCCGGAAGCTGAAGCTCTACAGTAAACCCCAAGCCCAACAGCAAGCTGGAGGGATGAACCAGCAGTCAATCTGAAACAGGTAGAGCTCGACCATTCGTTCATGCAGATTGCAGCGCGTTTGCTCGAGCAAGAGGACAGCTAGGCTAAGACCATTGCCGCCATGAGCAGGCCTCCAGCAACATCGCGCAAGGTCGGGCGCGCGCTGGTGCTACTGGCGCTCTTCTTGGTGTGTCTGCCAGAGCCTAAGACCAGCGCTTTGAACAGTGTTACAAGTGTTCCCGAGCAGCTTCAGGCGAGCAACGCAGACGGCGCGGGCTTTGCTTGGAGCGGGGGCCGTGCAGTTTCCAAGGTGGGATGTGATGTATGGCATGGAACGCCGAAGATCCGCAAACCAGAGCGAGGTCGGTTCCTCCGGGAATATGGGCACAGAACTTGCTGGTCGCATGCAGGGCCAAGGCGGGAAGCCGAGACCGAGAGGAAGTTCAGTGTTAAGCGTATGTCCTGAAGAGCTGAGGCTGGCCGTGGTGAGGCCGAAGACAGTGAAGACGTCAAGGCGAAAAGGGTTTGTCGTTTCGGCGTGGCGTTGTTCTGACGGCGTTTCCTTCGCTCCTGCCCGAGTGTGTTCATGTTCTGAGCAGGGGCCTCTGCAACCTCGTGAAGACGAAGATAAGGCGAGGTTTGCTTGTCCTTTTGGCGTGTGTTCGGATTTGGCATCGAAAGCTGCTCGGCGGGAGCATCAGACGAATTTCCAGGAGCTTGAGGGATTGATTGCGAGGGTTGCATGAAACTGTCCTGCCAGCAGCATATGTAGGATCAGTCCATGTTGGGAGGCCACCTCAGAAAAGGATCAGGATGAGGTGGAAGAGGCAGGCACTTCCAGGGAGCCTGTTCTTGCTGGTGAGGGCTTCACAATTCTGCGTGGCCCCTGCAGGCCAAAGGAAGCTTCGATCAGGCGGGCTCCGTGAGGCTCGTCGACACATGATTGAGGCTGTGCCCCTTGCTGCAGGCCGACTGGCTAGACAAGACAGCTGAAGAGATCCGGTGGTTTGGAACTGAGGAGGTGCAGCTTGTGATGTCTCTGTTGGGAAACCGCTTCGAGTCAGTGTGGATGGACAGGTCGGTTATTGGATCAGAGCGGTCTTGGAAGAGGCGAGCTACGACAACGACGAAGACGAGGAGGTTGTGCAGGAGATTACAAATACTCTGAAGGTCGAGAGTGTCAAAGGCCGCGCGCTGTTGCTGTTGACTTCGGACGACATGAAAGACATGAAGATTCCCGTGGGGCCGCGCAAAGTCCTGGAAAATCGCATCGCTGCCGTGTCAAAGGCGACAGCCAAGGCCGGGTTTTTTTGGGTTGTTGGGGGTCATGCTCTCTCTCCTCCAGACGGGAATCTCGCAGGATCCCCTCGTTCAGCTGTCTCACGGGCTTGTTGTGAACACTTCCGGGAGCAGGAGGGGCTTTCGGAGCAGTGGGCTCTTGGCTGCCCTGAGTTTGCAGCACTTCGGGCTGTGTGGGCTGTGCAGTTGTTGCTGTTGCCTTTGCTTGCGGCACTCCCGCGTGGTCGTCGTGCGTTTTCGTGCGGTCCAACCGTTTGCTTTTTGGGGTCATGCTCTCCTCTCAGCAAGGATCCCCTTGTCGTTAAGCTTCACTGTGTTGGCTTGCAGCAGTTCGGGGAGCGGGAGGGGCTTTCCGAGCAGAGGGCTCTTGGCTGCTTCAGGTTCATGCAAATCTGGTTGCCCTTCGTGTTTTGCCGATGCTTCAGAACGGGGTGTCAGTCCTAGGATCAAGGTGGGGGGCTCAACCTGTTTTGCGCTGGCTTTGCGCTCTCCAGGTTGCGGTTGCTTTCGTTTGAGGCTCGACTTTCAGGTGTCCGTGAGGTCAAGGGAGTCAACCCTGCGTTCTTCGCGCTTGCCTTTAGCATGCGGACCTTGAAGAGCACTGGGGTTCCGGCATTTGATTAGTCTTTCAGTGGCATGAGCACGTTATCATTTGATTGTTCCAGGACATCAAGAAGGTGACCCCGAAAGACTTTCAGCCTCTGGCAATGATTCCCCGGCCGGGCGTGCCGATTGAGGATTGGATGGTTGGGCTAACGACCTGTGTCGACGAATGTGTGAACATCATTCGGGCCCACGCAGTGCCGTCAGACAATGGTGCAGATCGCGTGCCGCCGCTCATGTTGTCGAGGTGCATGCGCGGCGGCAAGACGACTTTGTTGGCACACCTCTTTGATAAGGTGAAAGATATTGAAAACTACTGTCCAATCTTCATAAGTTTCAACGGCTTCTCTGGAATCCAGCCACGGTCCGGCGAAAGCCGGTTAGAAACACTTCTGCGAGCCATTGCAGTCACTTTGCTGCAGCCGTCTGCATCCACTGATACCCAGAGTGTTTCTTGCGACGAGGGCACATTAACAGACTATCTCGACGGGCAGAAAGGTGTCATCGTGTTGATGATCGACGAGCTCAACCTCCTGTTGCCAAAAGGAACGCAAGATGACAAAGTGGCCTGCTTTCTCCGGAGCGTCTTCCTAAGTCCGGCAAACAGATACTTAGTCTTTACTACGCACGAGCCGATTGGAGATCAGGTGGCAGAATACACGGGAAAACCAGGTAGTATCTCCCCAAGAGGTGTGACGACAGCAGCCATGCCTATGTCACTAAATGTGACGCAACAGCGTCGCATTCCTGGCTGCGAGACACTCGCTCTAGGTGAGGTTCTCTACTTTTCAGGTATTCCTTCCTTGCTCCGCTGTTTCAAGAATCGTTACGACTTCCGAGCTAGGTTCCAACAGCTCTGCAAGCCTCCGGCAACACCACTCCTCTTACGAAGCTTCGTACGACAGTTTCTGGAAGGAGACGCACAGGAGGATGATTCTATACGGACCTTTGATCGCCTCACCACGTTGTCGAAGGGGGGGGTGATTAAATGGGTTCTATGCTATGCAGCACAGATGTGCTTCTATTTGCAGAAGCTGAAGCTGGGCCAGTGGTTCAACATGCTTGAGATGGCGTCGTCCGAAGATGGGTCTGGCAAAGCTTGGGAAATTCTAATCGCATTGGCCGTTTCGTTCCGCTGCTTGGAATCGATGATTTCTGGTGAGCAGGGAGATCCTCTACTTGGCCTACCACCCACACCAGGCATACGAGAATGCTATTTTGCTGATGTGCCAGCCGAATTCCGCACGCTTGATGTTGCACTGCAGTGGTGGAGGCGCCAAAGAAAGCCTGCAGACTTCCCCTTTGCGCTAGTCCTGCGTCCATTATGCCCAACATTTCAGGTCTTCGACTGCATCCTCGTTTACCAGGAAGCGGCCTCCAGTTGCCCGCACATCCGAGGTTTCCAACAGAAAGCTGGGGATGCCTACCCCGATCAAGCCGCCCCCACGTTCGTCTCAGGTGTGGGGCCTGTCTCAGCCGTGTGGATGCAAGGCAAAGCCCCGGAAACAAGGCTCAATCCACAGAACAGAGGTTGGACGATGCCAAGCGCAAAGGACATTTCTAGATTGCTGGGCACATCTTTGCGGGATCTCTTTCCGAGAGCAAGCCTTGACACATGAGAGCTGCGTGGTCAAAAAAGCTTGTGTACCGGGGGATTTTCAGCAAATCTTCAGGCGCCCGAAAAATCCCACAGGCAGGGTGATTCATGGAAGAGAAAGGACGATTGGACAAGCAGCTACCGTGCAACAGAGCAGTTTGCAAGCTTACACTTTGTTAAAGAGATGATGGGCTTTAATAAGTGTATATTTAAATATACAGACATACATAGCATATCATTTATACGTATCATATTGCAGTGTGTACAGTTTTGTTTATCAAGTTTAGCGCAAGCCTGGGTTTTCGGAGCAGGGGGCTCTTGGCTGCTTCAGGTTTCACGCAAATCTGGGTGCAGCTCGTGATTTACAGAGTGAAAAGCAGCAACAGTTTCACGCAAATCTTGTTGGAAGGGTGTGAGCTTTTAAGTTTGTTGTCGTTCTTGGTGCCCTCAGCGCACGGTTTTCGAGGATCTGAACCATGTTTTTCCTGAGCTGTCACGTCTTATTGGCAACGCAGAACCAACCAGGTGAAAAGACTCCCGCGTAGCGAGATTTCGGACTGAACTCCCGCATCAACAACAAGGTGATCAGGGATTCTTGGAGAGGAGTGAAACTGTGCAGGAAGTTCTGGCCCAGATCAAGCAGACCCGGAGGAGGATCGCAACAAACCCAGAGCCGTGGTTCTGTGGAGCCCACGAGGCACCGGCAAAACATCCCTCCTTCGACACTTGGCCGAGGATGGCCGAGCGGGGTAAAACCGTTGAGGACATGACCAATGTGCTGCTCCAAATCTGCAGCAAGGCCACAGCGGCCTATCAGAACTGTCAAGCGGACTTAGGAAAGATCGTCGCCGCGTGAATTGCAGTGAGATCATTGCACAACTAGAGTGTCTTCACTTCTTGCGGTGAAAAGGGCTGAGCGCTCGCGCAGACTCGTGCTGCTCGCTCGGAGACACTGTGCTGAGGCCGCAGCTCCATGCCACTTGACAGGCCTGACACGAGCCGTCGCTGGATCCTTTTCTTTTTGTGGCTCAGGCTCCGCTTGAGCTGGTATGCGCAGCCAGCTATTCGTGCAAGGGCAGGTAGATTTGCTTTCCAGGGCTTTCGAATTGCACAAGTCATGGTTTGAAGTCTCGTGTCATGATCTTGTTTTTTGGAGCTGAAACTCTCGACACGCAGAGTTTTTGCGTACCGCTTGCTGCGAGCTGGATTTAACTTACAACACCCTGTACTAGACCGTCGGAATCTTTCAATGTTCGCTCGAGCCTGCAGCATCGTCGGAATCGAGTTTGCAGTACTCATAGGTGTGTTGAGTCTGCCAGCATCGGTGAAATTTCGGCTGGTCTTTTGGAATATTTCTGGAATCTGTCGAATTTTTGTGGAGTCTTTGCGGAGACTCTACAAGAGTCTCTGTGGAATTTGGCGGTTTTTCGCAGTGTCTGTGTAGTCTCTCCTGAGCTTACTGTAAAGATTTGAGTGTCTGGACAATACAAACTCCGTCTCTACCGCAGTCTCTCCTGCAGTTTGCGGTAGTTCAGACGCACTTGACCTGATCAGTGGAAGTCGAAGCTTCCAAACCTCGACCCCGCCAGGCCGCACCATGGTCCAAAAGATTTTGCATGGATTTTGCGCGCGCTTTCGGGCCTTCTAAAAGCCAGCCCTGGGCCTCCTAGGCCGCGTTCTGGAGCGAGTTACGTCCGAAACCGGGAAGAAGGACTTACCCTGTGAACGAAACAGCCAGAGACTACACGACAACATAGCGCAGTTTTGAAACATGGATATAAGAGAGAGCTACTTGGCGTTGAGTTAAATCTCAACTTCTTTCCCTTCCCTTCTACCTGGGATTGGAGTTAACTCAACCTAACCGTCCTGACCCTGGTTACCCTCTACCTGGCTGAGATTAACCCTAACTGCTAAAGTGAAGCCCCAGCAGGTGTGCAGAAACAAGTTCCGAGATGAAACTTGTGCTGGACATGTGGCTTCCTCCTGCCACTTAAGCGTCCCGTTAATATGCTTGGCTACCAGTTCTTGGCCATGGCATCAGAAGCAGAAGTTGAGGAGAAGCCTTCGGAGCAGTATTACTACCCGGAGCAGAAAGCCGTCAACGTGCCACCACATCCATTGCCGTTCAGCCGGGTGCCAATACGTGGCCTATCGGCCTGCTTCATCGGGTCTATCCAAGGGCAACAGTCATCTTCTTACACCAGAATTGGCAGGAGTTTCCGAAAGGCGCAGAATGTGGTTTGCTGTCGCCCCTAAGAAGCTTCGTAACGCGGCGAGACCAAAGCAATGCACCTTACAATCGCCTGCTGTTGTCTGATGATCAGCACAACCACTTGGTAAATCAACATACACTGCCCAGAGTCAGCCAGCCCTGGCGGAGCTTCCACCCCCGCTTTGGGATGCACTGCTGCACATGTCCAAGAAGCGACAGCGTGAGACCGCTGGAGAATTCCCCATTGGACGCAATTCGCCAGTTATACTGGCTGTCGAATTTTCTCATTGACTCACTGGATTGGTTGTCCAAGGGCATTAGCATGACTCGTGGGCCCATCTTATACACTCTGGTCAGTTCAGGTCTTCAGGGGAAGGCATGGAGCGCAAGTCAGCCAGGCTTTCAACCTGAGGGGCTATGACGATCCTCGAAGTGGTCTCCTCGCAAGCTGGCAAGTGGAGGACAAAGTCCATGCCAAGAAATGGACTCCGCAGTTTGCTGGCTGGAATTCCAGCCACTCTGCCTGTTGCTCCGCTGCTCAGCCAAGAGGACGCCCGGACTCCTGCGCCTGTGACATGCGGAGCGTTTACGCCTGAGCCCGGACTCGTTAAGTTATGAGCACCAGTGTCTTTGCACGTGCGGCGGGGCCGTAATTAGTTTTGGTGTATTTGTGACTTTTGGGGGGGGTGACGGTTATGCAGCCCAATAAACCTGGTGTCCAAAGGTAAAGGTTCAGGCAGATGAAGGAGAGTGTCTGCAATGTCCAATAAGGTGTCCGGTTTCTGGGTATGTGGCTGAGACTCTGGGTCGGTCTTTTAATAATCGAACCGCAAATTTGTGTTGGCTGTTGCTTGGGGTTGCTCCACTGGCTGACCACCATGGGGTGCCCTGGGCTGGTCTTGCATCCGCTGTTCTTGCTGTCAAGTCCCCACGGGCTGACCACATGGGGCGCGCTGGCCTTTCCTCTTGCTGCGGGCCAGTAAGGGTTTGACTGCTGTCTGGTAGTCTTTGCTGTTGCTACTCGCAGGCTTTCTCTGGGAAAACTGGAAGGGCTCTGCTAGCGGCCCCAGGTTCTACTTGCTATGTGGTCGGACTGAGCACAGTTGTGCGCCTGGGTGTTGGGAACTTTGGGTCAAGCTTCCATAGTGGAGCCGCAAGTTGTGTTGGCTGTTGCTCGGGGTTGCTCCACTGGCTGACCACCATGGGGTGCCCCGCTGTTCTTGCTGACAAGTTCCCACTGGCTGACCACCATGGGGCACGTGCTGGCCTTGCCTCTCCTCTGGGAAAGTTGGCCACTCTGTACCTTCCCTTTTTGCTACTGTGTGCCTGGTGCCTGCCCGTGTTGGTCGGTAACTTCGCTGTCCTTCTTCGATTAACAGCTTTCCGTGCTGACCTTCGTTGCACCAGTGGCTTCATGATGGTGGTTTTGATGATCTGGCAAACTCTCGCATTTTGCGACTCCCCCGCATGCTCTGCGCTGCTTGATTACACCTGGATTTCTGCGACGACTTCGAGTACTGAGCGCGGGGGACACCTAGACGTTTGGCGCTTTGGTTTTGGCGGGTTGCTGCGGGTTTTTGTGGTTGTGTTTGTTGGTGGTTTTGGTGTTGGTGTGTGTGTGTGTGTGTGTGTGTGTGTGTGTGTGTGTGTGTGTGTGTGTGTGTGTGTGTGTGTGTGTGTGTGTGTGTGTGTGTGTGTGTGTTGTGTGTGTGTGTGTGTGTGTGTGTGTGTGTGTGTGTGTGTGTGTGTGTGTGTGTGTGTGTGGTGTGTGTGTGGTGTGTGTGGTGGGTGTGTGTGTGTGTGTGTGTGTGTGTGTGTGTGTGTGTGTGTGTGTGTGTGTGTGTGTTGTGTGTGTGTGTGTGTGTGTGTGTGTGTGTGTGTGTGTGGTGTGTGTGTGTGGTGTGTTTGTGTGGTGGTTGTGTGGTGTGTGTGTGTGTGTGTGGTGTGGTGTGTGTGTGTGTGTGTGTGTGTGGTGTGGTTGGTGTGGTGTGTGTGGTGTGTGTGTGTGTGTGTGTGTGTGTGTGTGTGTGGTGTTGCTGTGCGCGTGTGTGTGGTGTGTGTGTGTGGTGTGTGTGTGTGTGTGTGTGTGTGTGTGTGTGTGTGTGTGTGTGTGGGTGTGTGTGTGTGTGTGTGTGTGTGTGTGTGTGTGTGTGTGTGTGTGTGTGTGTGTGTGTGTGGTGTGTGTGTGTTGTGTGTGTGTGTGTGTGGTGTGGTGTGTGTGTGTGGTGTGTGTGTGTGTGTGTGTGTGTGTGTGTGTGTGTGTGTGTGTGTGTGTGTGTGTGTGTGTGTGTGTGTGTGTGTGTGTGTGTTTGCTTTGGTTTTCGCGCCTGCGACGGTTTCACCTCTAGTGTTGAGACCCACAAGGACGGCCTACTGCGCTGCTGATGTAGTCAAGAGGCGACGGTTCAAAAACAAAAAAAACGCTTGCGGTTGCTTCTTTGTAGTCACGACTTCTTTTTCACTCGCTGGCTTGTACAGTTTGACGTTTGGCGCTTTGGCGGGTTGCTGCAGGTTTTTGTGGTTGTGTTTGGTGGTGTTTTTGGTGTGTGCTTGTTTCGGTTTTCGCGCCTGCGACTGTTTCACCTCTAGTGTTGAGACCCACAAGGACGGCCTACTGCGCTGCTGATGTAGTAAAGAGGCGACGGTTCAAAAAAAGATTTGGGAACTGGCAAGCAAGCATATCTGTGAGCCTTTCCAGAGGAAGCTTCTGGAGCCACTGTTTCCAGAACGAGCTGCATTGTCGGTTCCAGGCTTTGGCCAAAGTCGCGGCACGGAACGGGACTTATCCTAATACTTGGGTACAGGCAACG